TCTGATCTGTGGAATAATCTATGAATAATAATGGTAAGGTGATTCTTCTTTTGAATTGATTAGTTGTGGTTAAGAAAGTGATCCTATAAGCAGCCCCACATTGAGGTGGGGTTTGATAAGCTTTAGAAATGTACCTCTGCAATCCACATTACTCTTTTGAAGATGGTCATATTCTGAAGATCACTGTGCTGCTGCCTTAATTGGTTTCTGAGAGTGAGAGGAAGGATATTATGTCATGGAAACAGCAAATTTAATAATGATCATCACAGAACTAATACCATTTTAACAAAGATTTATGAGGTGATTGATTCTGTTTGTTAAGCTCATGCAAAGAGCACAGGGTAATAGCTGTAGATGGCAGCTTACCTTTTGTATGATGAGTGAGAAGTTATACAATGAAAAATGTTTTGTATTTCTGAACATTTAACGCTTAAGGTGTGGTGCCCTAGCTCTTACTAGACTGTGGCTCCCATCATCCTCCACTCATGATGGCTGCAGCTGATGGGACTCATATCCAACAATATTTATACACTCTATTGTCTATATTTGTTGTTTTCCTTTTAAAATGGGCATACTTTTATTTGTTTTTAATTCTGTTAATAATTGAATTACTCTATTTTTTAAACTTTTGTATGATGTGTGCTTTTAGCTGTATCTGTTGTACCTTTTCTAAGTCACTTTGAGTCCCAGGTCTAGGGAAAAGATAGAATGATGATGATCATGATGTTGATGATAGTAATCTAGAGGGGCATATGTTTCCTGGATCTGATTTGTGCGATATCTCCCCGTTTCCTACAAAACTGGTGTTTCTATCAACCTATAACTCCTATTATTAGTTTACCTACAATTATTAGCTTACCTACATTACCTACAATTAAAGTTTCAATTAAAGCCCTTCCATACATCACAATACTCCATTCACAAAGTGGAGGCTCAGGGATCATACTGAGCCTATACCAATGACCTCTCTATATACAAGCAGTACATGGTGGGATCTGCCAGCAGAATAAGTGTTGATTCTGTACATATGATATGTTGCCTGCTTCTCCCCATCATTACAAAGTACAGATCACACAGAGGGACTACACATATTCCATAAGATTTAGGCTAAGTAGAGTCCATTGGGCTTGGGCCTCAAGCACGGAAAGAGCCTTTTCTCCTTATTTCAATTGGCATTGCTTTGGCCTTTAAGAGAGGGAGGCCAAAGAAAACAGCCAGCATCTGATGAAATTAATCCCCACCCCCCATTGCCATCCCATTGTGCTCATGTTGTCCCCATTGCCATCCTGCCTATTGTCCTTGGGCATGCCCTAAGGGCATGCAACTATAATATTAACTGTGGGGGAAAGCAGATGGCGCAAAGCGCCGTCTTCAGGGCAAGGAAGGGGAGGGGCAGCCGCACGCTGGGCACCCCAACCCCTTCCCGAAGACGTCGTTGGAACAGCCAGTCCTCTGCATGGCTGGTGCTCTGACGATGCCTTTCCGCTGCAGCGTCCGCACATGCTGCAGCGGAAAAGCCGCCGAAGGTGTGCCGGCAGCCTTTTGCGGTACACCTTCGGCGATTTGTGGAAGGAGCGCTATTTTAGCACTCCTTCCTGGGGAGACGAAGCTGTGCCACGGGGCTGAGGAATGCGTCTCTCTGTGTGTAAATGGAGTGTTTGGGGGAAGAATTTAGAATGAATGTTTTAGTAATATGAGGAACTGAATTTGGCATTTACTTTGACTAAATGAGGACATTTATATGCATGTATTTGAATATGTGAATAAAAATATTTTTGAAAAATAATTTCAATTATGTGTAAATTACTTTAAGAGTCTATGACTGAAGGGTGGAATATAAATATTGGAAGGAGAGAAAGAAAGAAAGAAAGAAAGAAAGAAAGAAAGAAAGAAAGAAAGAGGAAGGCCCTAGATCAGGGGTAGGCAACCTTTCCCCTTTAAGGGCCGAGGGACTTCAGCTCCCAGAATCCCAGGAGCTATTGGCCAACATGGGACTATTGGCCAACATGGCTGAGGCTTCTGGGAGCTGAAGTCCCTCGGCCCTTAAAGGGGAAAGGTTGCCCTAGATTATGATGCAGTAGATGTAACAGGTTACTTACAGACTTACAGTAGATCTATGACACCCACCATGGCTAACCAAAGTCTCAGTGATTTCAGCACATCTGTTTTAAGAATGACTAAATCTGGATTAAACCCATAGTTAGTATACAGGTTAATTCCATTGCATAAAGTCAAATGGTCAGAGAAGAGATTGGGAGTGAGGCCACCAGGCATTAGCCTGTTCTTCCTCCTTTCATTTAGCAGGCATTTATGTGAACAGGGCTAATGAGTAGGGTGGCCATGTGACCTATTTTACAGGGGACAGTCCTTGATTTGAAAGGGTGTCCAGTCCAAATCTAGTTTAAAGATAAAGAGCTGGTTTCTGCTGGTCCAGATGATAGGACCCAAACTAATGGAGAAGATTATGATTGAATATTAGGAAGAACATCTAGATTGTAAGAGTTGCTCAGAAGTGAAACAGACTCTTTCAAAAGATGGTGTTTTCATCTTTATAGGATATTTTAAAACAAATGTTGAATGCTCATCTCTTGGGGATGCTTTAGCTACAGATTTCTGCTTGGCCCTTGGAATCCCCTCCAATTAATGATGCTGTGATTTGAACACACCAACAAGAGGAAAAGTGTGGGCCATCAGCAGTTAGCCCTTGGATAGCAGCCTGAGGGGCAGATACACGATGTCACAATCTTGCAGTGGTAAAATAGTAACTGGGGAAAAAAGTGAAATGTATTTTATTTCCACCACAGAGTCTTAAAGCTACTTGTATGCATTCTTACAGAGTAAAAATAGAAAAAGAAAAATAGACGAAGTTGTGTGTGAACATGCATGTATTTTAGCCCTGCAACCTGTGGTCAAACTGTGGCATCTTGTCTTTTCACCAGAACTAGGTCTCAAAGCAGCTTACAGAAATTAAAATGGATAATAAAGCAAACAATATAGGATGGCACCCTGTTATTGACATTTGCTCTTGTTGTGTGCCTTATCACAAGGGTTTCTTGACATGTACAAGTGTAATTTCACCTTACTCTTGTGTATGTATTTTTTTGGTCATAGCAGGGGTTGATATTCCCACCAAAACCCCATCTGGAAGTCACCATGTTGCAGTGGTAGTTGCTCCAACAGCCCTTTCATGGCTGATGGAGAACAGAGGAGAGTGAGAAAATGTCTGGTTATGTTCCCACTGATGGAAGATGTCTTCAGTCTGATCTGATTATGGGGATGTAGCCAGACATTTCTTTGATCCCTCCTGCACTGTCCACCAGCCAAAGAATGGCAGAGGAGTGATTATTAAAGTAACACGATCAGTCCTGGGGTGGTGACAGGGGAGCTGTACTGGGGTTCTCTATGAGGAGCTCTTACACTACATGGGACCAAATAGGATCTCACTTATAGATAATTACATAGAAAAGTCTTATTGTTAAAATGTGAACAAACTAGCTGTTTTTTTTAAAAAATAAAATCTAACTGTGAAAAGGGAAAGAAAATAAAAATAGTAGAGCATACTATTAACCGTGGGCTCATTCCCACTATGATTTACATCAATTTGCTGATCACTTTAAA